TAGTATGCTAAATCCTATTGAAAATTTAAAGTAAATAAAGACACACTGACTATTAAATCCTTACAAAATCGGACAACTTTAGCTTGAGAGGAACAAAGAAATCCAATAACTTTTAGACAATCATTCATGTTTTGATAAAACGCAATGAAAACGTTAGAAATAAAACATGAAACTATCCTTACAAAACTGGACAACTACAGCTCATGAGATCGGGTTAGCTTAGGAGGAACAAAGAGAAAAGTCCAATCACTTTTAGACAATCATTCGTATATAAAAAAATTAAAACATTATAAATAAAATATGAAACTACACATTTCAACATAAATGCAAATAAGAGTTCTAGAAATACTAACTAAGTAGCAGGTAGTATCATTTTGTTTTTGTTTTTATCTCTCTTGAATGTACCGAATACAGAAGTATACTTAATATGGCAAAGGTGCGAGGAAGTTAACCTGAAACCACTGCCAACAAGAAATTGAATAGAAATTGTAGCACGTGTGAATTGTATTCATATTTCAGGTTTCCTAATATTATAAACATATATTAAATAGTGAACTGGATTCCTGATTTCATGACATTGTTAATTTAATAATAACAATTAATTTACGCATTTAGCAGACCAAAGCGACTTACAGTGCATTCAGGCTATACATTTTTTACCAGTATGTGTGTTCTATGGGAATCGAACCCACTACCTTTTGCGCTGAGAACACAATGGTCTACTGAGCCACAGGAACACTACTAAAGTAAGCTTGCACCTTAAAGTAAAACAATGTAAATAATATGTCGACAATTCGAAATCATTTTTAAGTTTCAGGAATTCTTGAGAGATCTCTCTAAATTTCAGTCGTTTTATTTAGGTTCAGATTGTTTAGAGCAACGCAGGGCACCGAATATATAAATGTAGTCTTTGCTCTTCAGAGACAGGCCCATTTGTATGCATCGTTATAACCAACAACATCCTCTGTTCATTATCAATCATTTCCTGAATTTACTCTCTTATTTGTCCTATATGCCTAAAAAACCATTAGGATATCACCTAATGTTTATTAAAGAAATTAATCCGTTGCGATGTGCAGAAACAATGAAAATATTATGATTATGAAATGCAAAAGGTCTGCTTGTATTTGGATATGGACATATCCTTCATACGAGCGAGAGAGAACTATTCACACAGTATCTATGTTTGTTTAAAAGTTTTAAAATCTTTTTTTTTCTCTCCAAAATTTTTAGGTTATGTCCTCAAGCGTTGGAGTGGTAGAGAAAGCAACAGACAGCTGTATGCACCGGCCCTTTGTACATTAAATTAATTTGTTTATTATTTCCAGTGTTTGCCTCATTGCCGTTTTTATTCTCTTTAAAGGGCCTGTTTTTGCATGAAATGGTTAAGCGATGTTATTATCGATGTTTTATGCAGCTGTTTGTGTCAGCAACCACAAGAGCGCAGAAGGTAGGGTGGAATTATAAAAGGGTTGACACCCAGAGCGACCGGCGTGCTTTTGTGAGAGAAAGAAAAATGATTTATTGCCAGCAACGTGGTTCAAACAGAGTTCACTGAGAATTGTAGTGTACCGGCGGAGGCGCTGAGTTATGGTCTTGCTGAGCCACTACATCAAAGATTCCTTTTCAGATTTAGTGAATGGACCCAGCGGCATGAGACAAGGGAACAAACTTACTTTAATTAGAAAATTCCCAAGATCACAGGCGACTTTCAAACAATAAGGGAAGAGTTTGAAATATATGAAAGGTGCAAGGAGGACCATAAAACCTGCAGAATAATAATAAACTCCCCAATAGCTTCCTCCACCCCTTCCAAAAATATTAATAGTAATAAAATAAAAAATGCATCGAAATTGTTTAAATAGCATTTATTGAATATCTAATTCATATGTGATTACGGAATGAGTACACTTGCATTCCTTGCACTCTCGGGCGCAGTAATAGGCTATTTCATGTTAATAGCGCTGCAGCTCGGCAGAAGCCGGACTTGTAATATGCATAGAGAATGCTTCTATTTGACAAGGCTTGTGACAGCAATTCACTGAACTCAAAATAACAAATCGTCTTTAGAAAAAGATTGATTTTAGCCTTACAACCGAAGAGGATATCCCCATGGCTCCTTGATATTCTTCTTTTATAAACAGTATATGAATGGTTATGATTTGACATAAACAATTCGAAATGAAATATAAGGCTTTTAAATTGCTGTCATTTTACACGTCATTGTTTTAATGCAGTCCAAAGTTATCTTAATATGTGCGAGGACTAAGATGACCATTTTTCACAAACATACCTGGCCATATTGGCAAGCCTTTAGAGTCTCAGAAACTCGAGAGCTGTGTATTATTATTAACATTCCCTGAAGGAAAAAAATCCCTGCAAGAGAAAGAGAATGAGTCGTTGAGGCTATCAGTCTTTGTCTTCGAAAATACGTTAGACATGTTATTGACAGTACTGAGTGTCTGAGTAAATACTCAAACAAGACACTGTGGAGAGTAAATGAAAAGGGACTAGTCCTTGGTTTTCAGTTCTTGTGCACAATTAATCACTAGTGCGAGACAACCGCTGTCCACAGCTTATGTAAAGGAAGGGTGATGTCTTTTATGTTCATTTCAGACTGGGGATACTAACTTATTTAAGCGTGACTGGTTTATGTATTATGTTATCGGCAAGACGTCGTTTTAATTAGCAACTGGCTAAAAACGAATCCTACTGTGTCGATAGGGTGTCTGAGAAAAACAGCGATCTGGACAGGTCGAGCGCTAAATAACGTTCTGTAGCAATGACCCTCTTCCCTCCACCAGCTTAGCTTCTTGACGTCAGAGGACAAAGGCCAATTCTGTTGCGAGTAGAAAGTTTTTGTAATCAATTTGTAATTATTTAAAATTACTTTAAAAACAACAAGTTACCCGACTCCAACAAGTTTCTAAAGTCAAGTCAAGTTTATTTGTTCAGCGCTTTTCACGATACAAATCATTGCAAAGCAACTTTACAGCAAATTAAGTTTCTACAATATTTAGTGGTAGCTTATCAGTGGTGACTGTCAGTTAATGTACATATGGCAGAAATGTACGGAAAATCAATTTAAGACGTAATAAATCAGACGATGAACACTATTAACAGCAATTATTATATGATGCAATCAAACTTATAGCAAAATGTGGTAGTTCTGTATGTTGTTTCAGGGTTGGCATCATCTGAGGTCCTCTGAGGGGTTGCATCATCTCTTCTCAGGTGTTCTGGATCCAGACTGAAGCTTGTGTAAATCCTAGACATCCCGTGGCAAAAAAACAGAGAAACCAATAGAGACATAATTAGCGTAGCTGCTGTACCAACCAAGCAAAATAGATTTTTTTAACCCAAACTAAAGAATAATGATGCGCATTTGATCAGATATAGCTGCAGTACGAGATTATGAGATGCATTATTTGAATGCTTGGCCAAAGAGATGTGTCTTTAATCTAGATTTAAACAGAGAGAGTGTGTCTGAACCCCGAACGGTATCAGGAAGGCTATTCCAGAGTTTGGGAGCCAAATGCGAAAAAGCTCTACCTCCTTTAGTGGACTTTGCTATCCTAGGTACTACCAAAAGTCCAGAGTTTTGCGACCTTAGGGAGCGTGATGGATTGTAGCGTGGTAGAAGACTAGTTAGGTACAGAGGAGCTAACCCATTTAGGGCATTATAGGCAAGTAATGATATTTTGTAACTGATACGGAACTTAATAGGTAGCCAGTGCAGAGACTGTAAAATTGGGGTAATATGATCATATTTTCTTGACCTGGTAAGGACTCTAGCCGCTGCATTTTGGACTACCTGTAGCTTGTTTATTGAAGATGCAGGACAACCAGCTATATAAAGACTTCATAATTGCCCTAAAATGTCGTGCTTACGCCAAATCCGGGCTGTTCCTGCATGCTCTTTTGTTCATTAGGACGTTGTTTTAAATATAATTCTTACTACAGACGATGAACTTGAACAGATTTCGTTGGTTACCTATGACTAGCAAATGCCATCTCAGCGACTGTCTTTTTCGCCAGGTGAAAATGAGCAGAAATCTCAAAATGCGCCGGAAATTGTCTAGAAACGTCAGTAGTAGCCTAGCCTATTGGATATGGATCAATTGAACGTGTGTGGCAAGTTCTTTCACCGCGCAGAAACGTTGTTTGTTATCCATTTTACAAACCATGACGACAAAGACAATGTTACTGAAATAGTTTATTAATAAAAATACATTGCTAAAACATCTACATGGCTGTTAACGAACGATTAAGATTATTTTTTTTAATATATAAAAAAAACAATACACTTATGGAGCTGTTGTCACAAATGTAAAGCGTTACATGAATAATTATTTAACCATAAGGCAAAAAAGTCGATTATTATTTTAATACCTACCACAAGAGGACTGAAAAGTCAGTCAGGGTTTCAAACACTGTATTATAAAACGTTATCACGGAAATTAAGTCTGTATTCTGCAATCCATTGTGGCAAAACTAAGGAGACGAGATCCCAGACATGCAAGTCTTTTCTCTGTCCAAATGGGTCTCTTTCTCCCTCCCACCTCACGCTCTCTCAACTCTGTCAGCACGATAACAGAGTAATGTATGAGCCCTGCTCATGGCTTTTCGTCGGTCCACAGGATAATCATTCGAAATTGCAAAATAGTCGAAGAATGCGGAGGAAAAAGGAATCCTCGTTTGGTTGCTTTCCAGCACTTTACAACTCAAACAGCGAGTGCGCGAGACTATTGGAGGAGGCCATCACGTGACTACATTGTTTGCCCTTGTTGGAAAACAATTAAAGACGGCAGCGAGTGTACTTTATTTCTTTCCTACACCTTGTGTGATCGATTATCCAATCGGAGTGATCAGGGTGGTTAGAGATGCACAAGAATTCGTTTCACGAATTTCATATTAACACTGCTTACTTGAACAAGACATGTTGCAATAAATCTCATGTTTGTTCTATGGAGCATCATTTCTCCCCTTGTACTCTGCAGGAGACCAGTTCTGCGTGGAAACAACATGCTGAAGAAAATTCATCAAAACATTGTGAAGGCCATATGTGGAACTTTCAAAAACTCTCTCAACATCCCTATTCATTCTCTGCTCGTGTCAACCAGTCCACGAATGAAACGACAAACTCCTTGGACCGGGCGAATGCAACAGAAAGAGACGAGGGGTGCAAGCTGAAGTACCCTTGGATGAGGGAGACACATACATCTATAAACTTCAGCTCCATTAACGTCATGGAATCAGGTGAGAGAACTCGTTTTTGGAGTAAATATAGACATATTGGAGATATATATTGATTGGTATTGCTTAGAAATATCCACTTAATCTTTAGTAGATAATAAATAACAGCTGTGTGAGATTTGATTTGATGTTACTGTGATTTGTCACGTAGACACTGATGTCAATCACTGACATCATCAAGAACTAGCTATTAATCAATTATTAGTGTTTTCCTTCCTCAAATAGAAAATGAACCCCTAATTACAGGCAACATTTCAGTCTTGACTAATAAAGACTGTTAATTTCCACAAAATTCATGTAAGAATTTTAAAACTAAAGTTTCATTGTGTTCGGTTAAGGTAATTAATTCAAATATTTTTATCAGTCCAAGTCCATCAATGTGGACACATGGCTTTGTATTTGTGGCTTTTGATTGTATGCTCATTGACAAAAACACAATTAAAACATATATATTTTGATTTTGTTATGCTATCTGACAGTACTTTTACTGTGTGAAAATGTGTCATTTTCAAGTTAAAAATGCATAAGCTGCATAGAAGGAAAAAAAGAAGAGAACTTCTAAGAAAAGTAATATTTTCTAGAGACCGGCAGTTGTTCTGTGAACTTGATTAAAGTTAAACTTTTACTAAGGAGCAGAATAATAATAAAAAAAAGTCTACAGTGACATTTTTATATTGTCTGAGGCTATGCTTTTCTGGGTCACACATATAAGACTGCTTCACTTGTTTTAGCTTAAGCCAAATTCATACATTCACATTAGAGAATATATTCTCCATACACATACAACAATTAATGAGACGATAGCGCAAATATGTGGGGACTGTCAGCTTATATGTGCAGTAATGACAATATAAAAACATTTGTTGAAAAGAAGAAAAAAAATCCACACACAAATCATTAGGAATCTAACCACAGCAGAAGTCATATGAAATGGATAATTAACTTAGTGATTAGTCTACCAACAGTGGTCTGCCCCCGCTGGATTCTCAATACATTGATTTATCACTGGGGCTTTAAACTTGCAGCTACAAGTTTAGGCATAGGCATCAGAGAGATTCGCTCTGACATTAGGCTGTGCAACATGGTTAATACTCTAATCCTGAGCATCGGTCTATGTTTGACAGATCTTAGACCTGGTGTACTTTAACATTTCTATATATCTGCATGTTTTCCAGGTGATTTCAGGTACAGCAATGGTGAAGTACAGGAGAGCAGCTGTTCTAACAGTAAACGGGCACGTGCAGCATTCACCTCCTCCCAGCTGCTCGAGCTGGAGGAGTTGTTTCACTTCAGCGCTTACCTGTGCCGCAACCGGAGACTTGAAATGGCTGCGCTGCTGAAGCTCACTGACTGCCAGATTAAAATCTGGTTCCAAAACCGTCATATGAAGGATAAGAAAGATCACAAAGAAAAGTCAAATGCAAAGTCCTCTTACTCCTACCTGGAAACAGGTAACCAACCCTTTGTGATTAGTGGCAGTACAGCGGATTCCCCAGTGCCTTTAAAATTCCAGTACCACTATGAGAGAACATCAATGTCTGGTATGAACTGTGCACAGAACCACTGGTGAAACAGGAAGTCCAACAACCAGGGTCTTCTGCTTTCAGAATCCAGCTGTCAGCACTAAAATAGCACTAAAGCCTGATTCACATGAATGACTGAATAAATATGGTACAAAATATGTACCCGTTCTGTCACTGACCAGTTTTTCCCCCATTATAACTCTCTCTGACATGATTTATATTTAAGGAAATTGAAGATTTATTTCCCCTTGGTAATGATTTATATGAAAATGTAAGTTCAATAGCCAAGTTTGCTCTGAACCAGATTACATGTTATCAGCTAGTACATGGTAAAATCAGAGTTAGTCTCCACTGTGCATAAGCCGCTGTAGTAATAATATCTTTGCAAAGCGTCTACTCTGAGTTTGACTTTACACAAGTTTTGTTTTCCTGTTGATACTGAATTCATGGTGTTTTGACTGACAAACAAATAAAGCAACAAAACAGGAATAATTCACTGTCACAATGCTAAGTCAATGTCAGAATTCTTGCTTTGATAATGTTTTGATTTGATTTTACCTATTCATGTAGACTAAAGTGTGAACAAGACGGAGCAGCAATGTAAAATGTTTATATTTCTAGATCTTGCCACTTTTATTGTAATTTGGTCATATCTGATTAAAAGCATGCATTTTGAAATGGCAAAGTGGTTGCTTCAATCTAATTAAATCCATCTGGATAGTTAATAAAGGTGACTGTAATGCATGTAAATGACAATGTTGTCATTCTTGTTTTTCAGATCTTCTTTGTTAGTTTGGTATAAAAAAAAGCTGAGAACAACTGAGAGTGAATCTTAATTTAGCTTTAAAGTGCTTCTGTGGATTTTACTTTGATACTTTTTGAATTAGGCAATACTGTACTTTGTATTCTTAAAACATAACCTTACATATATGCCTTCCTCCGCCTCCCCACCTCGCAACATTAATCATTTAGACAAGGCGCTCTCTCTCGAGCAGCTTCACAACCGCTCAACCCGCTGGGCCTAATGACAGGCAGTGCGCTTCTCTTCCAACCTTCCAACATGCTCTTCTCCAGTATGGGAGTTGAAACACAGATTTGAAGAAAACGGATTTGGTTTTCTCGTTTTCTAAAAACAGAGACTATTATTACATTTGAGCAAAACTGGACTTCAGCAACGTTAGCGGAGAAGAAGCCAAGGCTTGTGGGCACCGCACCTGGCAGGGCGATAACTCATTTGGATGAATTATCTTTAATTAGGACGTCGCCGTGTGTCATTTTATAAGCTAAGCACGGAACAGCAAAATCTACCTTTTCAAAAATATTAACTTCAGCTGAAATTTTAACTAATTGAGCAATTTCAGTTTGGCCAATCTCAGTCATTCTGCATAAATCAATCTAGACCCAATACAATTAGTAGACTATTATAGCCTTGAGTGGTTCTCAACCCCGTTCCTAGAGGGTTTGAAACCACTGGCCTAACTAATTTCAGCACTATCAGCAACACTGCACAATTAGTCATAGGTTTAACTATTCTCAACCTTGTTTCCGTTTATAGATTACAATGCAGCATCTGTAATCAAGAGGATGGAAACAGCCTTTCATTCCATTCATTCTGATTACAGGAACAAATGATTCTGTATTGAATCGTTGATGCTAAATCACAGAGCTAAATAAATACTGTAATTTGTAGATAAGTGCGCGAACATATACTAGTGGCCTTGAGAGAATGGAACACTGTTTGTGCTGTACTGCTGAACTTATCATTCATCACCATGTGGCAGTGTTCCATATGCAAAATAGGAGTTGGCCTCCCGGTGGCCCCCTTAGTGCAACTAAACGGAATGCTGAGTGCTTATGTATTTAAACTGGATCTAACATAGCATGCCGGCTTATAGTTACACAGAATGTAAAACATCTAAACAAGCAGAGAATATCAATTTAAATGCTCTCAGTAAATTATTGTATGTCTAGTACATGTATTGGATTTATACAAATAAAAACAAATAATATTTTAAAATATATATTTTATAAAAATGTAAAAAAAGTTTATATTTTATATATTTAAATATATATAATATAATATATACATAATGTATTTAAATATATATATTAGCGGTGTCAAAATTAGCGCGTTAACGCAGGCGATTATTTTTTTCAGTTTAATGCGTTAAAAATATTTAATGCAATTAAAGCAGGGGCGGGGCTAGGGTTGGCCACCCCACTCACAACTGCTGCTTCTGTATGGCAAGCCAAGAGGTTCAAAACATACAAAAGAGGTTCAAAACATACAAAACGCCGTATTTGACGGCGTTTCAAACAATATTAGCGCCGTCAAATATGCCGTCCTGATGCGAGCTAAGCGATTGTCCGCGCTGCTGTTGCTGCATAAATACTGTAATTTCCAGATAAGTGCGCGAACATATACTAGTGGCCTTGAGAGAATGGAACACTGTCTGTGCTGTACTGCTGAACTTATCATTCATCACCATGTGGCAGTGTTCCATATGCAAAATAGGAGTTGGCCTCCCGGTGGCCCCCTTAGTGCAACTAAACGGAATGCCGAATGCTTTGCTGTATTTAAACTGGATCTAACATAGCGTAAAAAACGCGCGTAAACCGTAAAAAACGCCGTATTAAACAAACAAATATACTGTGACGCATTGCTGCCACACACATATAATTTTGTCCGCTAAGCGAGCTAAGCGATTGTCCGCGCTGCTGTTGCTGCAGTCCTGACATAAAGGAGCATCTGCACGCTGCTGAAGTTATAAAAAATACACTGTTTTAAATGTATTTTAATATTTTTATTGTAGCGTCATGTTTATTAGGATTAATCTCCAGTCTGTCTACAATGCTATATCCAATAACTGCACTCAGTCAGATGATATGACTCGTTTTAGATTATCAGATCAAACCAGTTATTTTTTAATAATACTGATTCTGGGCTTGGAATATTCCTTTTTTTGAATGACTCAAGTTTGATTTAACAACAAATCGAAATACGAACAAAAAGAAATCAAGAGAAATAACAAACGGTTTGATTGTATTATTATTGTTACTATTATTATTATTTCGTTCTGTCTGAAGAACGGAAAAACGAAAATTAAGATAGATTTTTCGTATTTTTTGTTTGTGGATAAAGAATGAGCGGCCCTGAAACGCCACTTTTCAACTCAGCCTGTCTTTACTGTCTGTCCCATCACGCAGAATAAGAGTTCATCTGATGTACCGCTCTGCAAATTAGTCACAATAACGTTTCTTCATACTGTTTGGCTGTTGCATATAGGCTATATTTCTTGCAAATATGCATCTCATATAAAGCGCAACACCGCACTTCTCGGGTCGGCGGCGCCGGCGCGATCCCTTGCATTGTGGTAACAGAGAAAATAAATATAAGTGTCTGCTCTATTTTGTGTAGCCTACTTCCACTATAACAACAAAAAAGTTCCAAATTGCTTTTGTAAAATAACAGGGTACGCTTTCTGCCGCACCTTGTTATGCATAGACAGCTTGAAAGGTCTACTTAAAACATTTGAAAACAAATTAGTTTTTATTTAATTCATATCCAACAAGAGGTACTGTACAGTCTTTACCGTCTGAGCTCCTTATTTGCATTGTGCTCTATGCACCCACAAGCAGCGCAGCCTATTCATAAAGCCTGGAATTTACCCCAGGCCCAGAAGAAGATCCGATGCGACGCGCGTCTTGTTGCAGGTAAAGTCACTGGTTGAAATGGCCAAAATTTACTGGGGGGACTCAAGCTTGGAGGGGGAGGGGTTAATAATGGTAATTTTAAATGACCTTTTGAATGTATTTAATTATAAAACCCTTTATAATCTATAATAACATTTATTAACAACTTATTTCATATTTTCTCTAAACCTTCTTAAGACAGTCACCTGCAATTCTGGCCAAATTAAAGATACATTGTGTGTGAATTTGCACATGTTAAAGGGGTCATATGATGCTATTTCATTTTTTCCTTTCTCTTTGGAGTGTTACAAGCTCTTGGTGCATAACGAAGATCTGTAAAGTTGCAAAGACTAAAGTCTCAAATCCAAAGAGATATTCTTTATAAAGGTTAAGAGTCAGCCACGCCTACCTAAAACGGCTCGTTCTAACACGCCCCCACATATCTACCTCACTATGTGGGAATATTTGCATAACGCCGCCCAAATGTTCACGCAAAGAAAGAAGGCGTAACTTTTATTCTCACTGTAGTATTGTTGCCGCTGCCGCCATGTCCTGAAGACGCTGTGTGCTTCGTTGTGAAAGCGAAACTACTTTGTTTGGTCTTCCAAAAGAGGACGATATCCGCTTCGTCATGCCTAGAGCTGATCTGTGCTGGTCGTTGAGGGAATACATCAACTTAGCGCAGTGGATCGCCGGCACATTTTATGGAGGACTGTTTACTGATCCTCGGAGAGTAACGTTAGACTAAAATGCCGGCAGTTCTGACTCACTTAAGTACGTTTTCATTTAAAGGATTTGCCACTGATGATTCAAACGCGAGTTTTGAGCAGTGTAGAATAGCACTTGTTGTTTGTCATTTCTCTGATCACAAATGCAGACAGGGTTTTATGTTCACGTGGCGCGATGCAAGACAGTATAAGTCATTATAATCAGTAATTATGTCCCCACTGGATGCAACAAATGCCTCGTTTATAATGGGTTTTAATGTTTT